GTCCAAGGCTGAATCAACCACAGCAGCTTCTGTTTGGCGAACTCGAGCATTTTCATTATTGTCATGTAGGTGTAAAGTTTGTCACATCATTGTTCTGTGTGTTTCAGGGCAGTTAAAAGATACATTTCAAAGTTTGGTGTGTAAAGTGAACACAGGCTGCTGCTGATTTCCTGTGTTCCTGCTCTGCCTGTTTTGACCAACTAACCCCTGGCTGTCACAAAGGGACATCCATGATGTCCTCCAGTCCTTTGCTCCTCCACTCACCACATCTCTTTATTTACAGAGCAGACAGAAACATCCTTCCATCCCCAGTGCTTTAATCCAGCCAGAACCAACAGAGAGATTAAAAAGACTGGAGACGAGACGTGATGAGTGAGGGTCATGACAGTTAGCAGGATGTGGCCAGGTGACAAGACAGGAGCAGGCGGTCACGCAGCTCGGAGGCTTTTAATCAGCACACGGCCACTTCTTCACTTCCTGGAACATGATGCTGTTTTTAGCAGGGAGAAGGTGAAACTGGTGGGAAAACACACCGAGTGCAGCACCTGCTGTTTGTCCTTCTTACTTAGCCACTTATGTGTCTCCGTCTTTCCTGTGTTCTCAAAGGGAAAACGCCCAAGGACCCAGTATTGTCTTTGCAGGTCAATCACTCATACCGGTTTTTACACCACACACACATTAAGACTACTCGCATCTAAATCTATAAAAAGTGTTAATATATGCATTTCTGTGGGGCAACACTCTGCTAAAAGAATAATGCTGGTGTTATATATACACTACCTGGCCAGTTTATTAGGAACACATGTATAATTGTATGCACTTCAACTCAACACCTGAACATCTATGTTTATGAAGCTCAGAATATATGTTTAAGATCATAGTTGAAGGTGGTGTTGTACTGGGCTACATTATATCCAGAGGTTACTCTATATTTTTGTCCTTCCCATGAGGATCAGAATATTAGGAACACCTCTGTATATAATTTTGTCCAGTTCAACACCACCTTCAACTATGACATCAATAATTAACAATCAAAAAACCAATCCTGATCTTATTATCCTGTTAGAAACTCACACTGTTGCAATGACATGTTTGTGACAGTGAACCCGGCTGATGTAGTTTATTTTCAGGGAGTCCAGTATTCGCCATCCTGCAGCATAGAAACCACTCTAGCACCAAATATGTAAAAATCACACCAGAAAATTGTTTACACTGTTTACTCCTGTTTAACAAATGAAAACCACATTTGAGCCAGTAGGAATGATTAATTTTAGGACTGACTGGCACAGATATGCTAAAACTGTACCGACAGACTAACATTGCTTATTGTGGTCCTTTTGTGGGATTTCTTTAGCGATTTAAAACACAGAATAAAAAAACATCAGGCTTTTCCTTTTAAGGTTGTTTTGTGTTTCTGCCACAAATCTGGCCTGACTGTCCCACAGCATTCAAAGGATGTAGCCTCTTAGCTCGCTAACCTTTGATATTACTGATTCATGTGCAACAAAACAAAGCAAATGCACAGTTCAGAATGTCAGAACACAGATGAACACAGCTGCTGTGTATAACTTAACTTGGAGTAACTAACCGTTTTATGCTGCTACTAATTAACGGTGAAAAGTGGACATATAATGAAGTACTAATACTTGAGCAGTAACTTTTTATGCTTCTTTATACATCTACTGTCATATATGTATTGTAATAGTGTAAAATTTGCTCCACTTTTACTGGACACATTAAATTAGTTTTGAACAATCTAATACTAAAAGCCATTCTCCGGTAATGTGACTAATTTTTTTAACACATAATACTTTTAAAGTAAACATCTGAGTCCTGAACTTTTTTCTCATGATACAGCTCTGAATATTTGTTCTACCACTGGAAAAACTGGTCGCTGTATTTTATGACCCTGTGAAGCAACGTCTACATCATGTTGATCATTGTTCTCTGATTCCAGGTGGAGTCTCAATGCTCATGATTCGTGAAGGGGGCTGACTTGTAGATTTTCAAAGGATGGATGTTTCATTGTGTGCATTTGAAAGGTAAGAAAATGAAAATTATTTTATGTATTTTTTTGGTTTTATCTTCATCAGGTGAAGGGAAAGTTCAGTTAGTAACATGACGTCATTTGTCCATATTTTTTTAAGGAAGCTGAGGTCCTTCAATGTGTGCAATAAGATGCTGGAAATGTTCTATCAGTCTGTCGTTGCTAGTGCCTTGTACTCCTCAGTGGTTTGCTGGGGGAGTAGTATTGCAGCCAGGGACTCCGATAGATTTAACAGGCTAATTAGGAGGGCTGGCTCTGTCATTGGCTGTGAACAAGAATCATTTGAGGCAGTGATGGAGAGGAGGTCATTGAACAAGCTGTTATCAATTATGGATAACCCTGACCATCCTCTCCGATTTGTGCTTGATAGACAGCGGAGCTCCTTCTCTAAAAGATTTAGACAGCTTCGTTGCTGTAAAGCACGTTATAGGAAATCTTTCCTGCCTTACTCCATTAATCTGTACAACACATCATCTTGGAGCATTAGACGATTCCTGGATTGAGAGTAATTGTTTACTGAATCAGCTTTGTATATATTTGCATATGTTTGATTCATCATGTGATTATGTATATGTACTTGATTGTGTTGGGTTTGTTTTTAACTTTTAATGTATTTTTATTTGTTTCATATTTTAGTGGGTTTTCTATTCTATTTATTGGTATGTGTGCTTGATATTGAGTGTGAACCACTGCTGAAACAATGCAATTTCCCAGATTGGGATTAATAAAGTATTTCTATCTATCTATCTATCTATCTATTCAGCATATCAGCTGCAAATGTTGGATTTTATTTTACCTTCACAGCTGAACCTAAATACACTCTCTAAGTCAACACATTTTGTTAAGCCACAATGTGTGACTTTTACCTCAGTTTCATCTCTGTAAGGAAAATCACGATTTGTCACGGCAACTGTAACTGGGCCCAGCTGTTCAGGGTGAATCTGAATGTGAGGTGCACCATGCAGATGATAAGGAGAGGTTTTAATCTTAACACAGAGCATCAATGTACAAAACACAAACTAACAACAAACCTGAACCAACCCTTGATCTAAAGAGTAGAATATAAAGTAAGACAAGTCTCTACAGCATCAGATTAGGCAACTATTAGAAATGAGCTTCATTCTTGACAACATAAACATTTCATTTCTCAAAGGACAACCTGAGCCTTCAATGATCAGATAAGCAAACTGAAAAACACTTCTATTTAATCACAGTGTGCAGTAAAACATAATAGTACAGGAAGTGTGAGCACCACCACCAAGCCTCGTTCGACACTTTGAACTCAAAAAAAAATTCCAGCAAGTCAAAATTTAGTTCATTTATTTACATTCTAACAGAATCACAGTTTCTAATAACAGAGTTTTTACTGACTTGACTGATCTGAAGCCAGTGACAGCAGATGTTAAATGTATGACATGTTAAACAACTCAGTCTGTAAAAGCATGAGGGGCATTTTGTCAATAGAGGTGAGACGATTCACCTCACTGGTTGTCTCCTGCCCAGGACAAGACTTATTTTTGACCAGTTGCATTTTCTTAACAGACTGACTGACTCCTTGCTTTTTAAAATGGAAAACAGCAATCACCGGCTGGGGCTGAGTTGACATAATCCAACATCATGTAAATAAAAAATTAAGAAGCCTCCCAGGTTCCAGCTGTACTCTGCAGGTTACTGTCACATGTGACTGTGGGGACATGGTTTTGTACCTTAAAGAGCCTGTTTGTTGCTAACAGAACTGAAATGTTTCCTGACGTGTTGTCGACAAACAAGACCTGGTGACGCCAAAAACTACATGCAGGTGAAGTCCCTCCTAACAGTCACATGGGTTAGCCAAGCATCTACACTGACTGGAAAGTGCTGCCTCTTCCTGGGGTACCAGAGCGATGGGCTTTGCTACACTACGACTGCCTTTAGACAACCACAGGAATGTTTCCAGAATTGAGTTCAGTACATTGGATTTGCCATTGCCCTGATAAAGTAAACCCACACCTGTGGTAGTCCAGTTACATCGAACTATTTGCAGATTATAAAAAGTTGAGAACAGAGAAAGTAGAAAAACAGGCACAAAAAATTAAGCATGATTGGCAACAGAAAGAAAAATTTGCTGCTTCTACTTTTCGTCATCATGTGAGTGCGATTGGCTAAAAAGCAGAGCGGCTGACAAGTAGCTAGCATTTCATAAGACAACCTGGACAAAACTACATGTGTAAATTACTGCAGTAAACCATTCTCTTGTTATTGAGATAATGCAGGAGTAGGAATGCTGCAGAACTTGCCTGAAAATCATCCAGGTTGAACAAATTCATTAGTATTGAAGTAATTCAGTGATAACTGTGAGTACATCCAATAGTGCATAGCTAAAGTGAACCGCTAATAGCTGATTCAGCATACGTAGTGTTCCAAAACACAAATATAGATTAGGCTAAAAACGGTGCCCACATTGTTCCACGCGGTATCCATGACATCATTACGTAGCCTATAGCGTACTTCCTGTTTCTTGTCAAAGTTGTATCTGTTCACACGAGTGGTGACTAATGTTTAATGCTTTGTCATAATTACGAGCTCAGGACCAGTGTTTGTCTTCTGACGCTTTCCAACTCCTGCTCAGTTACAGGTAGTGAGTTAATGTAGGCAGCAACTTTGAGGCCCATTTTTAGTCTCTGTTTGTGTTTTGGAAAACTAATTATGCTGAATTGGCTATTAACAGTTCATGTTTGCTATGAGCTATTGGATGTATTGACAGTTATCAGTGAAATACTAAAGAATTTTTAAAAACCTGATGATTTTCAGGCAAGTTCTGCAGTGTTCCAACACCCTGGGTAAATGTACCCCCTGGTGAATACAACACATTTCTGTAAAAGGGGTCTTCAACTTGACAAGTGGGCTGATTTAAAAAAAAGACTAGCCTTCCTTACACAGGGACTAATGTAGTGAGATGTAGACCATAACTGTCTTCATTTTTTTTAATTCATTTATTCTTGCAACGATTAAAGAAACAGTGAAAAAGCTCTCAGTCCCTGGGTACCATCTTAAATTTGCCTTTTTCTATGTCCATAATCCAAAAATATCTTATTGATAACAAAACAGAATCAACTGCACATCGTCACATTTGAGGGCAAAATGTTTCTGAACAACTCCAGTGATTGATCAACGGTAAAAATGTTTCGATGCTACTATTAACAGGCTTAGTGACAACGGCTGCTAGTATCAGATGTCAGTTTATTAGGTACACCTACCTCAAACTAAGGCAGTCTAATTCAATAAATTGTGCAGTAAATCCTCCTGCGTGAAGGTGACTGTGATATCGTTGTGAAGGCTGAAGTTTGTGCTGTACTGTATTAAACAAAGAGCTGTTTTCTATTTTTTCTTTTTTTTTTTTTGTCCACCAAGGCTAACTAACAAAAACAGCTCCAGCCTCCACAATCACCACACAGTTGATCCAACACCTCTGAACATTATCGCCTTCATGAAGGAGGATTTAATGCAGGACTGTTGGATCAGACTGAGTTGTAGCTAGGTGTACCTAACTGCTGCCTTTCAAACACACCAATTTGATGCAGATCTGATATCATGTTAACCAGGTGTCTTACATAGTTCACAGTATGTGCATTTCCATTGCCCAGAACCTTATAAACAGTTTGTGTGAACAGGAAGAGGTCGGCATTTTGGGAAACATGCTCATTTACTCTCCTGTCGAGTTAGATGAGGAGAGAAATGCCACGGTTACCGCATCATGCCTGTTACCTGCCGCCTCTGTTTGTTAAATATGAAGCTGCAGCTACCCTGGCTCTTTTCTAAGGTAAGAAGCACCTTGAAAGCTGCAGCTTGAACACATATCTTGTTTGTATAATCTGCACAAAAACCAAAGAGTAAAAATAAGTTGTGGTTTTATGGGGAATGAGCTGTTTCCCCATTGCCTCCAGTCTTTATGCTAAGCCAGGCTAATCATCTCCTTTAGTGTAAAAATGAGGCATATTGATTTTCCCATCTAACTCTAATGCAAGAAAACAAATGAGCATATTTACCAGAACTATTCCCCAAAGCTCCTAAATGTAATAATCTTGCAATGTAAAGTTAATGTTCTATGGAGATAACGTACCGCAGACTGACATTAACTGTGGCACATGGAGTAATGTGTCTGTCAAAGAAAACAGTTTCTTCCCTGCAAGGGACTCACCGAGTGTGACAGCAGGAGAACACAGAGGTTGCTATGGCAACACACCAGGTGGACACTTCTGAATGAGTGAAACAGAATCCAGCATGGTAGAAGTCCGGACAGACATCATCTTCCAGAGTCCAGCATTTAAAAAGTGGGGGCAATACTCTGAGACTGGTGAGGGTGTATGACATAACCACACGATGGAAAAGGCTGTGAGCAACTGTCTGGATTGACGTGATCCTTCATATTTAGGGGTGTTTGAGAAAACTGCTGACTAAGAACTCCTGGTATAATGCATAACCCTGAAACATGCCATTTCCACAGACAGTCTGTAGTGAGTGATGATGACTGCTCACCAGGCCACATGCTGCTTAAACGCAGGCTGCGCCTGTGTCCTATTGGGTCGGGATGGACACCGAGGTTCAGAGCCTTAAGGAGGAAGTTAGCAGTTCAAACCGCACAGGCAACATGTTGTTCACAAATGGCTTCCGTTAGAGACTGTGACATCACCTCTTCACCCTGGCAAAGAGATCTGCTTGGTCTCCTGTTACAGACCAGAAGACTGGGAGGGACGGTAGGGTCCATTCACCTGAGATGGAGAAAAAAAAAAGTGAAGGTTAACACAGATCCCGGGGGAAGGTTGGGACATCATGTGCATAGTTAGAGACTACACATGGTCAAACATCATAAAATGCATTATCTTGGTGTACTTAATAATCTGAGTGTTTTCTCAGGTAACCAGTGATGTGTGCACACAGCTTGTTTCTGCCACAGGGCTACATTTTAGTTAGCATCATTTCCCAGACTCCACCTGCAGTGTACTGTAACACAGTTGAGCACACAGAACTACTACCAGCAATTGGCTGGAAGACATGCAGTGCACTACAGCCTCACAGCATAGTGTGTTCACATGCTGACAGTTAAAGAGCCCAGGGTGGGGGGGACCTAAACAAGTTCCTGATGACGAAGTGAAGTCTGAGAGAACATTATAGACTGCACAGAGTGTAGCATCTCAGGACTATGGAAACAGAGATGAAGCAGCATCTCACTACAACAGTTACACAGAATGACACACAGTTGTTGGGTATAATAACCAGGGATGTCTCGATCCAGTTTTTATTTCACAGAACAATCCTGCTCAACTGGACCAAGCACCTCTCAGTCCTCATCCAAGATTCCAAATCCACATTTATACCTCTGATGGGCCAACACAAGCTACAAACCTGCATAGAGTCAAAATAATCAACACCTGATCACAAGATGTTTTTTTTACACATTTACAGAACTGGACGTGAAAACCAGCCTCTCATGTCTCAGTCTGACATTTCTGTCTTTACACACTGACTCAGCCTCAGTCACAGGCCTACATCTACTGGTTTAAACATGTCTTCAGACAGACTTGTGACACTTTGTGATGGTTCAGCGCACAAGAATAGAGCTACAGCACCAGAGCGTTGTTACATCAACGCAGTTCCTACCCATGACTACACTGAATTATCTACACACAGCATTCCAGACAATAGCATTTTAAGTCAGTGTGAATACTGATTAAAACGTGTCATCTCTATAAATGCACACAGACACGATAAGTCATTAACAGACAAGAAACAGATAAATTGTTTTTTCTTATTTTGTCTCTGATGAATAGGGCTCTGAATAAAGTGCACTTAAGTGTAAACATATTTGAGTGTTTGGGTTCAGTGAGGACATGGGGAACTCGGCGGGAGGTTGGGTTTCCATTAAAACACAATGACCCAGTGGGCACAGATGAAGCTGTGCAGTGTGCAACTCGAAATGCAGGCTTATGTTTCATGACACTTCCCAACTTAGAACTGATTGGAAATTTTAAAAAATGTGAGCTGCAAACACAAATGCTCAAATGTATCAAAGTCTGTCACTGTTCTCAGTGCTAAATATTCACAAGTGCTTCATGCTGAGCTCTGCCCCCACTGATCCCACACACAGGAGCTAATCCTATAGTGACTCAGGTCACGGTGTCTGAAAGGCCCAGACGTCCTGACAGTTGACCAAATTAAGGGAATGTTAAGAGGTTGAGAGTCAAGCCTCTTCCCAGGTGTGACACCAGGCTATCACTTCAGCTACATCAGTGGCTTTCCTGAACACATCAGAAAAATTACATGACGACATTTTGAAATAATTTCTAGAGATAGTTGGAGATCACGTGCCAGTAACGTCCCTGCATGATGCTCTTACCCGTGCATCGTACTCCAGGACAAACGGAGGGATGTCGATCTGCTCAGGTCTGATGCAGGTGAAGAGCTGCCGCAGGTTGTCCAGGTAGCGGACCTTGTCCTTCAGCCCCGACACACTGAAGGTTGTGAAGAACCACGTTGAGGCCTGGATCAGTGTGAAAACCAGAAAAAAGTATGATTTAGCATTTGATCTAAATGTTACGTTACAACAATAATATTCTTGCCATAACCAGCATTTAAAAAAAAAAGTGAACACAATGTTCTAATGCAGCAACAAAACCAGAATTTGTCTAATGAACCTTTAATGATCCCCAAGGGGAAGTTTGGCCATTGGAGCAGAAAGCACTGCAGTTCCAGTAAACCACAATAAACAACAAATTAACCCGAATGCACACTTCTGCACTGAGGCTGCACAGCTCTCTAGATTTATACACACACACACACACATATATATATATGTATGCAAAGGTTTGATTTTGCATCAGGATCAGTGCACACTGTCAGGGCCAATCACAGCTTATCTTGGGAATTTTAAGCCTCTGTCCAAGAACAGTTGTTGAAACTTTTTAGTGAGTGAGACCTATGATTGTTGAGCTGTTTAAAGTGATAATGTTGTTGCAGTACGGCTGATGTTTGTGTAAATTTCATTTTGCTCCAAGTGCACAATGTATTTAAGAGTCATATCACATTCACAAAAAAAATTACAGTCAAACTGTACGAGACATGGAAAAGGGGCATTTTACTGTCATGTGGTAAACGTGGTAAAAATATCTCTCAATGGAAACCAGTGTGGCCCAGACCGATCAGTGGAAACCAGTGTGGCCCAGACCGATCAGTGGAAACCAGTGTGGAGTGGAAACCAGTGTGGCCCAGACGACCGATCAGTGGAAACCAGTGTGGCCCAGACCGATCAGTGGAAACCAGTGTGGCCCAGACTGATTGGGTCCTGTTTAATCCCAAAGACTAAGGAATTATTTTGACTTTGTTCTTCACAGTACAGGAGTTGTGAGCCAGACCATGCAGTGGCAAATCCAGTAGGAATGTACGACTTTATACATGCAGTGACACACTAAATGCACAGAATGACCATAGGTCTTCTATTCCTAATACTACTGCTGCAACTTAAATTGTTATTAAAGTGTCTAGTACTTGATGACAGAGAATGTAAACTGTACAATTGGCTCTGTTGACATTAAAATAATGTCTTACCTTAGAGTGAAATGTAGGATGTATGAAGTAGAACGCCTTTAAATTCCTTTTAAACCTGCAATAGATGAGAAAGACCTCAGCTAGAAATACTCACAGTAAGGTTATGACAACTCACTACATCTTAAAAACTGAGGTTCCATGTAAACAATGACCATGACAGAGGTGAAGTGAGCAGGTTAATTATCTGAAAGAGAAGACAACATATCTGTGATTCCCCACCCCATCAGCATCCAGCCTTAGGCCCCTGATGTCTAGCCTTATTGATAAAGTACAGCAAAGTGAACGTTTCCAGGATTTGGATACAAATTGAATCACTGTGTCATAATGAACCTCTAGTTCTATGCTAATGCTAAGACATGCTAATAGAGTGATAACTTGTGATAGCTCATGCCCTACTGAGGAATGCAACCTATTTTAAGGAGATCAGATTAAACTGTATGTCAGACACAGCGAACATAAAACATCAGGAGTAACACCCTGGCTGAAAGAAACAGTGTTTTAAACATTCACTTTGCTGTTCAGGTCTCCTCTATCACCTGTCCTTAACCTGACAGCAGTGCACTTTGTAGTTTAAGACAAAAGTTAAACAAATACAGAATAGATTGGTAAAGACATGTTTCCTGCATCTTCCACAGTACAGTGATGTAGTATGCTGCCTTGACCACAACCAATCAGATGTCAGAACCACCTGACCACCAAATTAAGCCAAAACGAAGACAAATTCTTGGATCAGTGACCGTTCAGTCCACCCAGCTGTGTGAGACAGGAACTGAAGGAGCCTGGCGACTCGACAGCCCAGAGCTGGGGAAAGCTCTACTTTATGCAGATTTTATGTGATGGAGGTCAGTGACAGCCAATCGGAATTATCTCAATTCCCATGGAAATGGAGGAAAAGATTTGTGAGAGAGTTTTCAGTACAATGGAGGAGATCTGTCTTCACGGTCTCTGGCTTCCCAGTTCTCTGTGACACGTCTTTATTGAGTTATAAAGACACGAGCCATGTACATGGAAGCACCTAGTACAGCATATACATCAGGAGACATCTGTTCAGTCATAGTAGAGCATGGAAAATGCGTAAGCATCACTGCAACCCAGTGCCTACTACTACTTTGTCTCTGTATGTGTGAACACAAGCAGCCTGCACATGAAAATCCTTTTAGTCACTTTGTCGACTTGTCTCCATGATCTCATACACTGAGCTCAACTTCAATTCAGTTTATTTATATGGCACCAAAACACACACAAGAAAACCACTTCAAGGCACTCTGCATAGCAAGGTCAAGACCTTTTGGCTCCAGGTCACAGGTGAAGTCATACCTTCAGACAAAAGTGGTTTTACTTATAGTAAATTTGGTTCAGTGCAGCCTGTCAGTCACACACGCTAACATCACTTATGTAAAGGACCTCAAGACATCTGAACTCCTTCATTTATGGCAGCAACTCAGACCCAACCAGCAGGGAACAATCCACCATCACCTGGCAGAGCATCAGGAGCTGAAAACTGAAGCTGCCACTTCACCCATGGCTGCAAACTGGCCAGTGCGTGCTTGAGGTTACAGTCCAGTGAAACCAGAAAACCACATAATCAGCAAGAAGCACAAAGATGCAATCCTGAGGTCACCAAACCAGTATAAACCAGTTAAGCGGGTGATTCCCTAATAAGTGATACAAACCCTCTGCCTCTGATTTGAAGATGGGTGCCACCAATACCGACAGTATCTGTCCCCTGGGAATCGTTGCCCCTGATTTCCATGCAACTGAAGCTGAAAATTCCCCAGAGCCTGACGGTGAATCTGTGGCACCAACTAACATGATTTAAGCATCACTGTAATTTCAAACTGATGACAAACTTCAGTAAGGGGAGACTTCATGGTCGTCAAGAACCTGCATCGCTCATGACAGTTTGCATTGTCCTATCAGACACAAAGCAGTAAAAGTACATCTGTCATGTACTACAATACCAAACCAATATCTTTTAGTTGAGAGGTGGGAACCAGGAGTACTAAACCATGGTGTGGTTTAGATTAGGTTAATAATCGAGCTCGTTTGTCTCCTGGAGAAAGTAATTAACTTCTGCTGACGTGGTCAGACAGTTTTGTTCATGTTTGTGAGGTTGTCAGATGCCAAAATGCATCTGCAGCCAGTCAAAAGCTTGATGGGTTGTACTTGTTGGACATGGTGGGCCAGGGACAGTGGTTCCATTGCCTGTGTAGATCAACAGATCACTAACTGCTTGAAGAAAAAAAAAAAAAGCTTCACACATCCAAACAAAAGATTTGGGGCACATATAGTGTGAACACAATGTGCAGCTTGCCTCGCTGAGCAGAACAAGAATAGCAGTACCAGAGGAAAGGGTTTGATTCCCACATGTGGTGCCTGACCCCACAATACTGTAAGGTGCTGTATATGTGCGTGTATATGTCCATACACTGAAAACCTTCATATCAGCTGTAAAACATTCAAATCAGCAATCCTGACTGCAGGCTAAACAGTCCACCTTCTCATGAACAGGTTTAATGAGCCACAGCTAAAAGCGTCGGTGGAGCTTTGAATAACCCTGGCATTTGAAGGTAATTAGCATGACGCCCTAGGCTTCACCGCTCGCTGATGAATCAGCAAAGTGCACTACAACAGTTATTATAACTGACTGGGGTTTTCCTGTTCCGATGAAAGAGGAAGCTGAAGGAGGCTGTCTTCATTCATATTTTGAGTGTATGCATATGGCATTTTTGTTTCGTACCATCTTAACTGTATGAATTAAACGTCAATTTTGACAGTGTTTCAGTGACAAATTAAGAGCAAACAAAAATATGTCCCTTAATAAGAGCAACTACTAGATGCTAGTTTAGCTCTTAACTAAACTTTCCAGACAGAAAAGGGTATGTGTGAAACTAGCTGAAGTAAAGAACAGAAGAATGGGGGTCGGGGGTTGAGAGGAGCAAAACGAGTGCGTGGAGTTTCCCACTGACACATGAAACTCATTTGGTTTTGGTCACTAGACACTAAAAAGAGACGAGAATTAGAAAGGCTGAAACCTGTGGAGCTCTAGAGGTGGTTTTTGAAATGGCAAAGCACAATATGATCTTCATGCCAGTATTTTCAAATGCTTTATTAAACCTACACTAAACTACACTTGCACTAATTAACAACAAAACGATTCCATTTTTTTAACCACCTGATTTCCATAGCTCTGGGGAATGTTCAGATTATGAAGAAACCAATATTTCAGGTGATTTAAGCCACTTTAGTTGAGCTAAAATAAAAAGTGCCAATACATACGTACTTAATCAATACCAAAATCCCAAAATCATGACTTGTCGTCTACAGCTGTGTTTCCACTGTGGGAACATAGCGAGCTGTACACCCTGTGCTTCCCTTAACTGTCTCCTGGCTTAACCTCCTGGGTCAATGCGTTCTGTCCTGCTTTGCTTTTCCACTGTATTTTTCCCCTGTGTGTAGAAGGAGGGGCTGTGCTCCTCTCTCTCTCACACAGACACAGCTCAGCAGAGGATCACAATGCTCCTTAGAGCAACAAAATCAGCCAGTAACAGACTGTATGAGCAGTTTATCAAACAGCCGCTAAATAAGAAGAACACAAACTTGCAGAAATGTGATGTCTTTTACATCTAAACCAGCAAGAGGAGTTTTCAGAATCTTGGGGGAAAATTTAATCCTTTAAGTTTCTCAAAAACACGGATTTACAACGCCTGTCAGAAGTAGTCACCCCCTTGGATGTTTTACCCTTTTATTGATTTTATAAATCAATCTTGGTCAATACAATTTGACTTTTGTGACCAAAAAAAAAAGAAAGACAAAAAACCTTTTTAATGTCAAAGTGAAAACAGGTTTCTACAAAGTAAAGTCAATTAAATAAATTTATGTAATGTGAAACAAGCGATTGCATAAATATCCACCCCCTTCAAGTCAGTCTTTAGTAGATGCACCTTTGGCTGCAACAGCAGCACTGAGTCTGTGTGAATAGGTCTCAATCACGCTTGCATCTGGATGCTACAATTTTACTTCATTCCTCTTTGCAAAACTGCTCAAGCTCTGCCAGGTTGCACGGGGATCAGGCGTGAACAGCCCTTTTCAAGTCCAGCCACAAATTCTCTCTTGGGTTGAGGTCTGGGCTTTGACTCGCTCCAGAACACTCACCTTGTTGTCTTGAAACCATTTCTGTGTAGCTTTTGCTGTATGCTTCGGGTCATTGTCTTGCTGGAAAATAGATCTTCTTCCAAGCCGTAGTTCTCTTGCAGACTGAATAAGATTGTCCTCCAGGATTTTCCTATATTGGGCCAGATTCATTTTACCCTCTACCTTTACAAGCCTTCCAGGGCCGGCTACTGAGAAGTATCCCCACAGCATGATGCTGCCACCACCGCGCTTCACAGTGGGGATGGTGTGTTTATGGTTATGTGCAGTGTTTAGTGTCAGCCAAACATAGCGTCTTGTCTGATGGCTGAAAAGCACCATTTTGGCTTCATCAGACCAAAGAACTTCCCTCCCCTTGACCATTGAGTCTCCCACATGAGTTTTCTTCAACAGTGGCTTTCTCTTTGCCACTCTCCCATAAAGCGTTGACTGGTGAAGAACCCAGACAACAGTTGTTGTTTGCAGAGTCTCTCCCATCTCAGTTGCTGAAGCTTGTAGCTCCTTGTAGTCATAGGTGTCTTAGTGGCCTCACTCACTAGTCTTCTTCTTGCACGGTCACTCAGTTTGAGGACGGCCTGATCCAGGCAGACTTAGACATGTGTCATGTTTCTTCCATTTCATGATGATAGATTTAACTGAACTCCGGGGGATGTTCAGTGCCTTGGAAATTTTTTTGTATCTATCCCGACTTTTACTTTTCAATAATCTTGTCTCCGAGTTGCTCGGAGTGTTCTTTTGTCTTGGTGGTGTAATGGTAGCCAGGAATAACGATTAAACAGGGACTGGCCTGAATAATAAAGGGGGTGAATATTTATGCAATCACTTATTTCCCATTACACATTTTATTTAATTGACATTACTTTGTAGAAACCCCTTTTCACTTTGACAAAGAGGTTTATTTTTGCCAATAAAGCCAAATTATATTGACCATGACTGATTTATAAAATCAATAAAAGGGTAAAACATCCAAGGGGGTGAATACTTTTTTTATAGGCACTGTAGATCCAGGTCTGAGGTCTGGACAGCATCTGTTGGACGTCTGATAGCATAGTGCTGACAGCTCAAAGAAAGATCATCCATATGTTGTTATGTATGATTTAAAAAGGCAGTAGGAAGATTTTTAAAGGTTATCTTTAAATTTCCCTTGCCTATCCTTTATGTATCAAAAAATAAGATATCTTGTACGTACATGATTCAGGTTTCATTTAAAGGGTGTAAATCTGAAGTGAGTGGACTAGTTTTTATGGTCTACAGACACATTTCTACTTATAGATGAACCACCAAAGGTGCATTCTTCAATTAAATTAAAAACATATGTCTAACACAGCATGTTTAGGTGACTGGTTTAGAACAAGTATTCAAATCTTCAACCCTCTGATTAAGGCTGAGTCACTTGATCGCCACAAGAACTCGCTCCAAGTTTTCCTGTTCCAAATATGGCCGCCAGATTTCCAAAACCCAAAATAAGGCAAAAGCATTTCACAGCTTGTTTTGCTTTTCCAATAATCTAAGCACTGTAACCTTGGCTGTGTCATACTGTAGCATAAACAATTTTTTTTTTTACCTTCAGTACGCTGGCAGAAGACAGTGGAGCCAGAGGGGTATATAGTGAGAGCCAAACAAGGGTCAAACAACAGCCAGGCCTCACACAAGATGTGGCATTTTGCAAACATGATCTAATCTAGCTACAGATCTGACACCGAGGCGGCAAGAGACAATTCTTATTTTGCAATTTCACACTTCATTATGATCCTGCACCTGGCCAGATGTGATGATATATTATAAACAGAAAAACAGACACCAGGAGCTTCCACATTTCCAAAACTTTGGTGTAATTTCTTAAAATAAAAATCCTCCTGCTCCAAGTCTGATGTGCCATTTTGGACAGAGATGTGATGCTAATTCAACTGCAAGCCCAGAACATACTGTACAGTACAGAACACTGAAGCTGGTGCCTTTGGGTGGGTGAAAGGTTAAAGCAATAATTTCCACAGTTTTCTTCTTCAGTCATTGTGTGTGATAAAGGGACGAGAAAACATGGGAGCAGAAAGACTACAACAACGGGAACTCAAGTCATGTCGAATCTAATTATCCTTTCAACTTAATCCTATTCAACTTCAAAATAAATACATGTAACCACCACAACAACATATCCCAGCATGCATTTGGTGTAAGATTTAAATGATGTTAATTTGACTTCTGCAGGAGTCAAAGTCAAACAAGGAGTGTGAAGTGTCTGACTGACTTGGCATCGACGATGTCATACAGATTCTTCAGGAAGGTGGAGTCCAGGTGGTTGTGCTCGCCAGTCAGTGTGTGGAAGTAAACCAGCACATACTCCTTCACTGTGATGTGGTCCATCACATGGATGAAGTACAGCAGGGCCTGCACACACACACACAGACACACAGACAGACTCGATCTGTGCGTTTACATTTTTAAAGTCCTGATTCTCCATGATTTTCCATTTATTCTTGTACAGTCAGATCATTGTGATTTGGTTTAATAGCAGGTTTGGTCACACTGTATTTATATAAGTACAGTTTTAGTACATTTTAAGGTGCTACAACACAAATATTAAATAGATCTACAGTATGTGTGCAATAGCCACTGAGAAAACCAAAAAATTAATTTACTTTGATTTAGAAATCTGTTCCCTGAATATATTAAACTGTTAACAGAGGTTTATATGACAGACATGCATACACACATTAAATTAGTACAAGATCTGCAGCACCTATTAACCTAGAACCTAACTCCTGTGTACGTAAATGAAATACAATTGCTCAGGTAGCACGTTAATAGAGGCGGCCATGAATTGACAGAAGCACAAACACACACAGATGATCCAAATAAGCAAGTGATACACACATGCAAACACAAACATACAACTTAGCGTCTGGGATCAATATAAAGGTGAACATGTGCTCACAGATATAAAGATGAGGCCAATCCTGACAACCAATAAAAGGATTTTACTTTGAAATAATTTTATTTTGTTACCTTTTCAAGGTCAATATGGGTCACTGGGATGTTTCGTCCAACCACAACCATCACCGTCCTGCCGCACATATCCACACCTGTGGACACAGTATTCAAAGGGTTCAGTCTTAAAATGGACAGAAACACAGACGCCTGCTGCAACTGATGCAGTTTGACTTCCTGTAGGTGCCATGAGGGAGATCATCACTGCTTCTGCTCAACTTTCTCAAATCTATTCAACTTTCAGTCAGGAGATGGACAGAAATTCATTCACTGTACTTAAAAAAATAATAATAATAATATTAAAATAATATAAAAAACGGCAAACATCGACTTGATGCTGTTTTCCAAATGTGAGGATTTGTTTTATTGCAAATTTAATGTCTGCGTCGAGTTGGTTGAACATTTCTTTTGTGGTATTTTCTAAACTAAATGAATCAGTCAGTGGCAAAAATTTACAACAGCTGAACTGATCATGACGATAACTACAAGTGGCTGACTGGAGTGTTCAGACAAGCAAATGGGAAGAGACTGTAGCTTTAAGTTCTTATGTTGCGTGATTAGTTACACTGAAATCACATAATGACAGACACACTCAATCTCAAATATTATGCTGTGTACAACAGCTGTATGAACCTAACAACCTGTAGAACTCCTGCAGTGACAAACGCTTGTGCTGCCAACACAAGCAACAATATTGGCAAAGATGGAAGTGGTCAATAGCCTCGTCACATCATGTATCTGATGTTTGTGCAGGAGAAACTATAGAGCTATTTTGTTTAATTTTTGTAATATTTGTCCTGTATTTTTCCTGAATTAAACAATATCCCTTCTTTTGTGAAGCACAACGACAATAACAAACATCTTTTGCATGTACACAAACAGCCGGATGCAGAGTCATCATTTATTGTAGTATTTTATCTTTGAACGTATTCAGATCTTTTCTTGCATTGCCTTCCTATACCCTTTCATTTTCAGTGTTTTGTCTATTTGTAGTGATGTGTTTGTGTTTTGTCACATTTGTCAGTTTTATACTCACTCATTTCAACTGTATTTCCTGCATTTTAAAATAAAGTTAAACTTGAATTATTTCTTGCTAAAACTTTTTAACAATAATGTTAAATTTCCTTTACTTTTTAGGCTATTTGCATTCAATTAAATATAGCTAAAATCAGAAAAAAATGCAGTCAGTAAATTCAGAGGGGTTTAAACATTTCCCTAGTTTTGGAAAGCAGATCATCCAAAGTCAGAGAAGTTATAAAGTTGATGGTTGGTTTCATGGGCCAGTGCTCCTGTGTGAATAAACCAGTTAACAATTTCACTAGACTGTAAAAGAACACTGTCCCCTGCTGGTAAAGAGCTTCAGCTGCACCTTGTAACAGCTGCAAACAAGACATTACCTGACCCATGCTGTGTTCAGTGAGGTGAAAGACAAAGATCCACATCACACACACACACACACACACTCAGCTCACACTTTTGAACAGGCCCTGCTTTTGTGTCTGTTTCATTTTACATTACATTCATGCTCAGTCTAATTTATGAACTCTCACTCTGTTTCTCACACTCATATGAACACATACCAGTTTGATACAAAGCTTTCAGTGCAGCGATGTCTGACAGATCCTCTGCTCTCGCTCGACATAGCCAGCGATTATAGCTGCAGGACAGCAACACACACATACACACAAACAGATATGGCTTTAATTTACGGTTCATGTTTACATGGTTTTGCAAAACAGCACATACATCTAGTGTTGGGGAGTTGTGAACTACATGTACTTTAACTACATTTTGCTGTAGTTTTCTGGTAGTTGGACTACATTCATTTTTGCATAGTGATTCACGTGCTTACATTACCTTTTTGCCATTTTTATGTAGCTAACTACTAAAACTACTAACAATTTTGGGCCATAAAAGGAAAGGAATAATTTTTGTGTGTGTGTACAACAAAAACAAACAATAACATTTCTTGTATCTTTGTCCTTGTGAAAAGCCCAGATGGGGTTGTTTAGTTCAGGTCTCAGCTGGACTGCCAGCTCACCTGTGAACAATATCTGGCTATAGTTTTTAATGTTTTGAATCTGAATTTGTAAAACTAAACTTATGTTTAGTTTGAACTGCTATTTATTAAAAAATGTTCAGAGATGCTGTTGCATGGTGTTGGTGGCGTTCGGTGTAACATCCCCACCTAGACTCTAGTGTTTGATGGACACTGTATATAGAACCATTCCTCTGACATTCCTAGACTAGTGCAGTATTTTATTTTTTGGTTTATGTATGACCTGTGAACAAGCAGTGGCACCTTTTAGGCAAAAAAGCAACTGAGTCACATTTTTTGCTGGTACATGTCTTTCCTGTATTACATTATAATTTCATATCACATGAACATATTTGATGTGATCATTTTTTTTACAATGCAGTTTGATCTTTTTCTAAGCAGTGTGTTAAACTAGATTTCTCCTGAGAATAGCTTTGCTGTAGTTAAACTTCTTCCAGTGTGAATTAATTGGCTTTTAAAACAGCTCCCCCAACACTACATACATATACAGCAATCAGCCATAACATTATGACCACCTGCCTAATACTGTGTACACAGAAGTCAAAGCAGCAGTTGGTTGGGGCTCGTGTCACTGTGCATCTTGTGTGAATCTGTTTGCTTCCATAGTTCTATTCCATTCCATTCCAACTTTATTTATAAAGCACTAAAAACAACCAAAGTGGACCAAAGTGCTGTACAATGTAAATAACATACAAGAAAAAAAAACATACAAATAAAATCAACAACAATAAAAAATTTCTGATCACCTCTAAACTTGCACTTTGTTCTGGGCACACTCAAAAGAAACTGATTAACTGACCTCAAAGAACACGTAGGCATATACCAGTGAAGCAAATCAGATAAATAAGAAGGTGAATAGCTGTGAAGGGATTTAAAACCAAATAAAATTTTATAGTGGATCCTAAAATAGGTAGCCAATGCAAAGAAGCCAAAACTGGAGTTCTACTGACAGGAAGAGCACAAATGTGTCGCCCATTCAATGAGAAACTGATGTAAAAAGGACTGAAAACCGGTGGTAGACACATTCAACAGCCTCCCCACTCTAGGAGTGACATCACCACTACAGCTGCTGAAGGCTTCTTTCCATAGAGACAAATGAATAGAATAGAATAGAATCTTTATTGTCATTGTACACAGTACAACGAAACTGGGTGCAAACCTCAGTATCAAAAACAAAAAAAAAAACTATAAACCACATAAAATTAGTAGGCCGAACAGTACATCGGTTCGACAGAAACACAGTGTTTCTCATTTTCATCCATTTTAACAAAGATTCAAATAAACTTTAATCTTTTTAAAAGTACAAATGGAAGTTAAAGCTTTAATCTACAGTAGATCAACCTCATCATCAGTGAGCCGTGGGCGTCCATGACCCTGTCTCCAGTTCACCATTTGTCCTTCCTTAGACACTGTTGGTAGGTACTAACCACTGCAGACCAACAACACCCACCAAGACCTGCAGCGTGGGAGATGCTCTGACCCAGTCATCTCACCATCACAGTTTGATCCTTGTCAAAGTCACTCAGATCCTTACAAGAACCTTTTAGTTATTTTCATTACTGAATAATCTGGTAATCGCTGTCTTGTTAAAATGATTAATGTTCACTTGCTGCCTAATATACCCCACACACTGACGAGCCACTGTAATGAGATTATCAATATTATTCACTTCAGCTGTCACTGGTCATAATGTTTTGACTGATCGGTGTAAATAATCTACAGTACACTACAGCTTAACAATCACAAGAAGCAACATAAACAAAAACAAATTTTTATCTGGTAAGGCAGGAAAGCTGCATGTGGGTTAGTGATTAATGTGAGGGTTGGAAATTATTTCTGTAGGAATGAACAATTATTCAGTCATAAAGTAATTTTAAAGAAAAAAGTAAAGTAGGGTCTCACTGCAATAAATTAATCTAGCATCTCAAGTTGAGCTAAAACAGGTTAAAAAGCATATTGCTCTGCTGGCCAGTAAGGTCTCTACTGCGTTCTGCTCTTCCAGTTGTTAAGTAAACACTTCATGCATCTTTGTGGCCAAGTGGTCTATGATTTTTAACTACACCCCCAATTCAGTTCTGGTCCCTCACACGCTCTCCATGCGTCTTCCCCCTCACTCTGTCTACTGTTGAATAAAAGCAAAAATACCAACCGTCGTGATGCTACTGTATTGTCACTGTGTTGCTAATGCTAATATTCATCTGAGCTGATCATAACTGAGGCCTGGAGTAATTTTATTTTATCAAATAAAAGTTGGTTGTTTCACAGTGTTCCAATTATTTTAAAATGTGGACTCTTACTTCCTCTGGTGCTGTTTCTGTATGGCCACCTCTGACATCTGGCCCTGCAGGATCAGTTTCCGCTGTTTGTCCACATCACCCTCCATCCGGGCGAAGGCATGATTCCCCACTTGACCCAGATCTGACTCTAGACTCTCGTCTTCAGAATCATCTACACAAACAACCAAAAAGGATGATGACTGGTTATGTTGAATTTTCTTTACTAGCTTTAATGAAATCATTATGGTAGGATAAGAGTTATGGTCAAGTTAGATGCACCTAGGGCAAATATTGCAGCATATTCAGCTTTGTATTCACTTAGACACACACACACACACAAAACCCTAAGTACTCTCCATACAGAATGAAAACAGTAAATAATCCCGGATCTTGCTTTGTTCTAATCTTTGAAATGAGAATTCTTCCTGTATGCTTGAAGTTGTACATCTGATTACTATATTTGCATAGGTATGCCCACTTAATTGGGTTTATTTTGTTTCCCAGAACCTAATTTAAATGCAAGCATGACATTGTGTGTGTGTGTGTGTGTGTGTGTGTGAGAAAAAGCTGCAATCGAGGTCATAAACTCGTCAGAATTTTGATTCACGTTCAAGCCCATTTCTGCTTGCTTCTCTATGACCACCGCCAAGTGTCTATTTTTATCATCCAAATGGACATGTGTGCCAGTCGGTGTTTATATATGAGCCTGCTTGCTTTGGATCAAAACCCCAAAACCACAACTCATCTCTCTGAAGCATCACACTAGAAGGCGTCAAACTAGAGGTCAGCGGTGGCTACGGGATTAACATACAAACCATAATCACATGAGCTGGTGTTACTTTCACCAAAAACTAACATTTAGACAAAGTGCAACTAAAGAGGTCATACAAAATATAGTTTACATCATGGTTTAAGGCCTGAAAGCGAGTTTGGACTCAAATATCTCATGTGTAAAATGTCTCATTTCGTTTGCTATTCTTTCCCTGATTTATTGTCAGGCAACACAGCCAACTACATATAGGCACTAAGTTCCTTTTCTCAGTTCCTTTATAACTGAGCTAAAAGGCTGACATGAAGAGCCTTAGATATAGATTCTACAAATTTAGGGTTTAGGTGCTAACAGCCCAGTTCAAGTCCTTGAGACTTTTTGTTGCACGTCATTCTCTACTCATTTCCTGTCAGATCACTGCTGCAAACAATCTAATAAAGACAAAACAATGGCAGAAACAGCATCATGGGGAAGTGCTAAGCTAGCACAAACCTGAGGCTTTTATTCAGAGGACAAAAGGTGAACTACATATACAAAGTGTGAAATATGTCTACAAACTAGGGGTGTACGATATATACCGTCTATGATAATATCTTAATTGATGTTTAAACAACGTGTGACCTGACATTGAGTGTCACTCACTTTACATAAACATGCCTTGAGAACCCAAACACTCATTGCCTCATAAAGCCAGGCATGACAGACTACGCACATTCCGAGTGCACACAGTGTGCACATAGTGACACACCACAAGTTAAGCTAGTGTAGCGGCCTAAAAACTAGCACTAGCAAAGTTAAAAAATGAGTGAACAACAAGCACCAGGAGACAAAATACAGACACCACTAGCTCAACAATTTACTTTAACTGCTAGACATGGATCATCTCTTGATTGGAGGTATTCTGGCATTGAAAAGACATTGGTGAAGATGGTGTTTAAAAGGCGGACTAACAAACTATGTTGGAAATCATCTGCTGTGAAGATGACTCAGCAGCTTGTTTCACCCATGGCAGGACTAAACCAGTCAAGGTACCCAAACAAAAATACACTCAGCAAGCAGCAGAATCATTCTGCAGAAAGTGATTTCATTGTTTGTGTATTGTTTTACTTCAATGCTTCAGTTTAAAGTAAATAAATAATTAAGTCCTGTTTTCTTAAATGTTTTTCCATCAATCATGGGTAAGCAGCAACAAATAAAAGTGAGTTGTCCTGCCCTGAGGACATTTTACTTTAAGTTAGCGAAGCCTTAATAAATGCTAGCATTATATAGTTTAATATAAGCTACATACTGTTCAACCTGACAGATCAAAGATGAGGGTGAATTTGTTTGTGAATCACTGGCAACGTGAAAGCTTTATCTGATTACCTCAAAAAAGGTTGATGCAGTCTTTACTCTTTCTCAGTTAATTTTGTTTCCAGTAAAACCTCTGATCAGGCTGAAGGAAGACAAACGGTTCCCTTTACCCACTGTGAGATGAGTGAAGTCAGAAATGGAGAGGAGCGATGTATTAAATTGTGCTGCGTGTGTGTTTATTTTGCCGACTTCTGCAGCCATACTGGCACATCAACTGCTCTTGGACTATTAATTTCTTGACGTAAGATTTTAGTCTGATTCCAAAATTAAATGTTAGCCACATGAACAAATATGATGTCTGTTCTTATAAATAGATTGCTGACATGAAAGTAAAGCAGGATGTATCCTTTCTAATGCTGGGAAATATCTCCTAACAGTATACAAAAAAGATTTGTGTTGATGTCCTGTACCTTCCAGGGTGCCTGGCTTCTCAGCAATACGGATCTGTCTCTCTGGGACCACGGGTTCACCCTCAGAGTTGCCAATGTCAGCTGGGATGAGAGGCAAGCAGGACTTCTCCTCTTTCCCAGAGCGAGGGAAGTACAGAGGCAGTAACTTCTTATATACCAGCTGGAAGAAGTCAAACATAAAAGCCTTCATTGTAAGACTTCACCTGTGCCCAGACTTCCAGTAAACTTCCTGTTGATTTTAAACAGTCCTCTCCTGTCTTCACTTCTTGCGCTTCCAACAGAAGAATTGGGTAATTTCTAACAAATGGTGGTGTCTGCTCTTATGGTGTTATGTTGGTTGTTCTCTATTGCTGCTGTAACACAAAAATTTCCCCACTGTGGGATCAATAAAGTACCTACTCTAAGTGAGGAGGAACTTCTCTTTCAAGCTCTTCTGTCCTGTTTTACACAACTGTATCTGTCATTTTCATTTCTGTCAATGATGGAGACCATCTGAATGACTATCAAGTCTCAACACGCTCTTAAAGGCCTGAATTGTGTGAAGGACACAGCCCAGGAATGTGAGTCCTCCAGAAACCCCAAAAGCCAGGCTGCCCAAAACTAATGGTGCATTTGGGTGGTTGTCATCAATATGTAAAGTCAGGACTTTCCATGTCTGTCATCAGGAACATGGCCTCTAACTGCTGGCCGTGTGCAAATATAATCCTTTTCAGACATGGGGAGCTGGTTCAGTTAACATTAGTGAACCCAGCTTTCACCCATTTCGAGATTGGTCTGAACACGAACAATAAACTCCAAATCATTCCTATATATTTCTGAACATACCTTTCAGTTTCAATGCGACTGTTGTGGAACTGGCACAGACTAAAGTCATACAAACCTCCTCTGTGTTTGACACTGCAAACACCACTGTCTCAATGCTGTTTCCATGATTCTCCAGGAACCTTCGTACTGTTCCTATGATCACAAGAACACAACACACCTGTTACCGTTCATATTAGTCCCATATTCTCAATAATTAATGGAATTAAAACTGATAACTACAAAATTACAAAAAATTGTGTGAAATCTCAACATTTATAAAATTGTGTACATAGGCTATACTAATATCTCAATTGTGTACAAAAACACACAGTACCTGATTTATAATGTTGTGCACATGCAAGCTTCCAGGCAAATTTCCTTTTTTAAATTACAATAACCTTCCAATGTGCACACTGGTAAAATACATTTTTCATATATTCCCACAATTAACTATGAATAGTCAATGAAAAATGCTCATGAATAAACAAGATGTTCTTGTGAAGGTAGAGTTAAAAACAGAAATGCTGCAGTGCTGTGTTTGTAATGACAACTGTGTAAGGTTTTGTGCGTCTTACTGAAAGCAATGTGCATAGCATCTTCCAGCGGGTAACCTCTTTTGATCATGGTGACCACACAGAAGCCAACAGACGCCATTGATTGCTCTCTGTAGCGATAAGAAAAACCACATTCACAACACACACCAGTGACTGGTTGGACAGTTTCCTCACACATATCAACTACATGCAAACTGTACACCAAATGATAAAAGTACACTACCCTTTTAAAAGCAACTTGTTAATAGCAGAACATTATATTAACACAACATTTAACATGAAGAACTGATTCATGCATTTTGCTTCCACAACCAGGGGCACACGGAGGAGTGACACCAACTACTCAGGGCTCCATCATGGAGGGGCCTTCAAGAAGCCTCAAAAAGTATAATTTCATCTGCAATATTTAGCTTCTATGCATCCTATAATTAGGGCAAGGCAAACACTGTTCTATAATTTCTTCAAGAAAACATGATAAAATATTTTGGAGTAATACTTGCTTCAGTGGCGCATAAAACTGTTTTTAATGGAATACCCCAAATCTATCAGATGCACAAATTTTGTTTTATTATTTGTTCATGCATAATAATTGGTGTATAACAGGTGAAGGAGGCCACAGACTGCATATGCACAAGGCCCACATTTTCTGGCTGTGCCCCTGTCCACGACTGTTACAACATAGGGGGATTTTTACTAAACCTGACGCAAATCACTGTCAGGTGCGCAAAATATTCCACCACCGCAATTTCTCAATTTAAGAGGCATATTTACCAATACGGATGATGTAAATGAGCACGGACACAGCTGTGTTAATCTTAATACATGGTATTGTGTAAATTGTTGCAGTTTAAGATCAATTAATTGACTAAATGTTGCAGTTCTAGGTCACCCCAATAAAAGTAGACCAAGAGAATATAGTCTAAGTTTACAGAGACTGATTTTTTTTTTTTTTTTTTTTTACTATATTAAACTTCAAACGTATTTTGGAACTTCAATTGCACAGTCTTCTGCCAGTCAAATCATCTTTTATTCTGAACTATTACACTGAACTGGTTTGACCTGAAAACTTGTAAAAGTCCCTCACATTCTCCTCTAAAGAGCGATGTGATAATACAAACACACAATTTCACAGTTTACTGCCAAAACAAAATGAGTGGCACAGCCCTAGTAAATATCCCACTAAGTGTGGCCGATTTGATTGAGCTTCAGTACGTAATCCAAGAGAAACCCACAATATCACAAAGCCATCCATCTCATCAAGCAGACTGCAAACATTTGGATTGTGGTCCGAGAGGCTTCAGTAGCTTTTTAGGCAGAGATTTACATCAACACTGTGACTGGTTGAGTTGATGGGTCTTACACGGCCAGCTGCATGATATTCCTATAACAGCTGTACAGCGAGCTCTCAGCAGCCGTCCTGTATCGGGCTTTGTACTTTGGTCCCACCGTGTGGATGATGAACCTTGCCGCCAGATTGAAGCCTTTGGTCAGTTTGGCCTCCCCTGTTCGACATCCTGCACACAAACATAACTGATTTACCACTTCTTATAAAATTATTAGTGAGGAAAAAAAATCTTAGCACTTAGTAAACTCAGCAATGACCCATCTATATTGTGTGTTACAGCTCCCAACACTGCTGTTTCTGCAAAAAGCAAATCAAGACTTTCTGTTCAAGCTTGGATGCTAGACTTTCAGTTCAGGTTTTCCAAATTTCCAAAACATTTTAGCATCGATCCATGCAGATATTTTCAATTTACCAGAGCCCAAGATGAAGGCTTCAAAAAGCTTGTTTTGGCCAACCAACACTCCAAACCCACAGAGATTTGGTTTACAATTAATTATATTACAAAGAAGCTAGAAAATCGCTTAAGAAACTGCAAAGAGCAAATCTTTGGCATTTTTGCTTCAAAATGACCCTAATGATTAAGGTAAATATTTACTAAGCTTTTGAAACCCATTTTCTAGTGGTGAACAGTGTTCATGTCATGCCGCAATATTTTGTGCACTTGACAGTTATTTGCAGCAGGTTTAGTAAACATCCCCCTAAACGATTTAAGATCAATTAATTCATTGACTAATTGTTGCAGTTCTAGCTCACGGCAATAAAATTTACAACCACCTCTGTTTCCAGAAACAATGTGTTGGTTACTCTAGATAACAAAACATCTAATGAAAACTGTTCTCACAAGGTGAGTAACTCCAGTGAGAGACTGTGTTCTGTGGGTTTAGTGTAACCACGACATTGTTTCTATAAAAACACATTGCTGCTGTAATTTTTTTTAATGATTATGTTTTTGATTCTTTTACTTTCAACAGATACCTCAGCACATCAAACCAAAGCTGTGCTGTATGGATTACCACTAAACGTATGTGGCTAAACTGAAACTTTAAAATCTATTTATCCTTTTTGGTACTCTACGTTGTATGAGGTCTTGAAATGTGTACATGTGTTACAGGAGTTTTTCTGATGTAGTTTTGGACAAATTTTATTTCAGCTTGTTCTCAAATGTTCATTTTGAATTTCTTCATGAGAGCAGCTGAGAAGCCTTTCTAAAAAGGCCAAGTACTGTACATCAGAGCCACAATGGCAGTTACAGCCTGTTTATTAAATTCAGCTGAGCATTATGTGCCTGGTTATGTCTATGTACGTTTTCTGCCTCCAGATATCACCTCTTCTGGAGGTCAGAGCTCAGCTGTACAGTTTTCTAAGTCAACTCTACCTTTGAGTTTGAGCAGTTCTTCTCGTAGTTCGGGCCCTGCGAGCTGATGGATACTGTCAGACACAGGGTTCTTGTCATTTAGCGACTCGTTGGTGGTGTTTACGATGGCGGTGCAGGTCAGCAGGGCGACGTCCCCAGTGCTGTTGTAGAAAGAATAGTTACAGACTTGTATATGCAATATGTAAATACAGGTGCATCTCAATAAACTAGAATATCGTGGAAAAGTCCATTTATTTCAGTAATTCAACTCAAATAGTGAAACTCGTGTATTATATAAATTCAGTACACACAGACTGAAGTAGTTTAAGCTGCTGGGTCTTTTAATTGAGATGATTTTGGGCCACTTTTAACAAAAAAACACCAAATCACTATCTCAATAAATTAGAATATGGTGACATGCCATTCAGCTAGTTAACTCAAAACACCTCCAAAGGTGTCCTGAGACTTGAAAATGGTCACTCAGTTTGGTTCACAGCTGCCAGTCATTCACAAGATGCAATTTTGGTCCTGAGAATGTTAATGGAGAAGTATAGAGATGGTCACATGGAGCTGCATTGTGTCTTTAAGGAAAACGTACGACAGGGTGCTGAGAGAGGAGCTATGGTACTGTATGAGGCTGTGAAGAGTGGCAGTGAAGTACATCAAAGTAGTTCAGGATATGTATGAGAGGAGTACAATGTCAGTCATAGTAAAACAGAATACATGTGTATGAACAAAAGGGAGGGAAGTGGAACAGTGAGGTTAGAGGGGGCATAGGTCAGGAAGGTGCAGGAGTTGACACTATGTCCTGTATATGCTATCTGGCTATAAAAGTTTAACTTTTTAAATTTTGTTTCAGTCAAAATGTACAGCAGCAATTGCAAAAGAGGTCTCACTTAGTATGTCCCTAATATTCATTGGCAGAAACACTACACTTGCTATATTCTTATTAATAATTTACCTAATTAACATATTATTAATGTTATTTCTACAAAAGGAATGCAATGCCCAAGTGTTAATTAAGGTTTATGTTACACCCAAACAGTAAGAGGAGCAGTGATTGGGTGACCATTTCACTGTACAGGGAAACACGTTTCCTAACTGTGCATATGACGAATAAACACTTTGACCTTGACCACACACATAGCCCATGCACATTTAAGCAATCAACCTTGAATATACAGCATTTAGCCAAAGTAAGTATTTTATTGCTTCAGTAAGTCATTTCTTCACTCTGAAGCCCTGCAGGGTTCGTTTGGAACAAACAATGAGTAACTACTTGAGAATGTGTTGAAAGTATTTGGTCATAAGACAGGTTCAGCCTCCAGGTGCTATGTCCGTGGCCCAGGCCACCTCCAGCACCTCGGTAGCTGGCACAGGTAGTCCCAGCAGCTCCGCCCCCACACAGGTGGGAGTGCGTTCCAGGCAGCAACGCACACCTGCTCCCAATTATCAGAGCAGTATTTAAGGAGAGCGTTGGTGTATCCTCATCGCCAGATGATCTCCCGTTATCTTGCCGGTAACGTTACCTTGAACCCATATCAAGAATCTGTTTTATGGACTACTTTTCTGTTGTTCAGCCTGGCTTTATGTTTTGCGCTATATGCTCTCTGCTTACGAGTAATTTTTGCACCAGCTTCTCTGGATCCCTGCCCTTCGTATTTTGTGAAGGGGCACTTTGTGTTTGAACTGTGTTTTCCGGTACTGGGTTGGCTTTGGCCATTTTTGTTTTTCTCAGCACCATTTGGTGTCGGGACTTGTGGACTGTTTCCTCCGGCAGAGATCCCCAGCGCCAGGAGACCTGCTCTTACTGTGACTTCCTCTGTGGCCCTGGAATCCTGCTGCTTGCTTTCATCACACCGCCCCACTGCCAGCTCTGCCTCAACACTGAGCCTGCACACTGGACCAGCAATCTCCTGCGCCAGCTCCCACCTCACTATTCCCTATGCCTGCGGCGCACTCAGCTATTCAGGTCCTCAGTGTTACTACTAGAATTAGCCCTTCCATAGCATACCTGTTTCTCTCTCTCTCATACTCTCATCCTCTGCTCTTATTCAGCGAGCTGCACCTCTCCTTCAACCCCAGGTCGCATCTGTAGCAGTCCAGTCAACTCAGTTTGCCCAGCTGCCCCGAGATCTGATGAAGAGACAGGCTCTGTCGACTTCTCATTTGTAACACTCATTAAAATATTTACCTTGTCAAAGCCTGAGTCGCCATCCAGCTTGCCAGGTAACAACTCCCACTGAGTTGCCAGATCGCACTGGCAGCCAGAGTCTCTCAGATCCTGTTCTACAGTCCTTATCTGTATAAATCCTTCAACAAAAATTCCTTTACGTCAACAAAGGTATTCTACCCTACTCCATTTATTATAGCAAAAAGATTCTTTGCATGTTGCTTGGGTGTCACAACTACAGCAGCAATAAGCTGCCTGTAAACAAAGTAGGCTAATACTGCTTCCCGAAACACTCATGGATGGATCCACTGACAGGGCTCATCAGGCACAGGCCCAGGGGCCTAGGGTGTAGGGGGGCCCACACACACACACACACACACACACACACACAGTTTATGTTTCGTAGTCCATGGGGACTTTACATTGACTTACATACATTTCCTGTAGACTAACCTCTACTTGCCTAACCCTAACCCTGACCCTAACCTCATCCTAACCCTAAACCATGTTGCCACCCTAAAATTCAATTTCTTGCCCATGGGGACCTCAATTTAGGTCCCCACCGTGAAATGGTATGGAGTCAGGAAGAAGTCCCCACGTAGCAGGAAAAACACGTCCACACACACACACACACACACATAATTACAATACAAGATACAACAAAATCACTAGAAAAGTGGCTACCACTATGCTGTCATTTTGTCCCTTTCAGTCTGCGGTGGGGGCTTTTTAAAAGTCTGTGCAGAGGGGCCCATTATCATCATCTGTCCATGGAAAGAGGCGCTTCAAAAAGCAGAGCGGCTTTGGTAGTTTGGCTGTGGTTTGCTGCAACAAACCATGTATAAAGATAAACAACAGTTTCCTCACCTCAAGTTGAAATGCCATGTCGAATGTGAGGGGAGTGCAACAGTTTATGTGAGCTTCAAAACAATCTGCGGAGCAGTAAAATTATAGGAAAGAAAAAAGCTTATTTTCAAGGAATTCTTTTTTGATTTCTTCATATGCAATAATCTGACAAGCCTATAAGGAGACCTATATCTATGGAGGGACTGTTTGCCCCAAAACACCACTGGTCCAGGGTCAGTTCCTCCTGGTCATGTTATTGCAGTAGGAATGTGCCTGCTCCTGATGACGGAGCAGGGGAAGGCGGACACCACAACAAGACTCTCACAGAGAGACTGCCGCCAAGTCGAGCTCTGGACAGTCATGAGTTCCTCCACAAAGAGGATTTATGAGGTGATGTGGACTGTGGACTGGTCTGGGTGAGCACGTGGAGAGACGCGGGCAGTGTTCACATTACACATCAGAAACAGTTAACACCTGATGAGTTTGTGTTTCCATTTCTGTTCCATTTGTATGACTTAAATCTGGTCCGATTGCCTGTCAGCAATGAGCACGTGCAAGTGTCGGGCAACAACAAACACTGTTACTGCCATTTTTGAGTTTATGTTACTCCTGCACAGGTCTTTGTCATCACTACTCAACAAACATGTCAAACGTGACTGGTGAAAGATGACAAATTCTAACTTAAACTTTACTGCACCTTCCATGAAGGCAGAACACCTCAGGATTGGGATTTGGGAGGACTGTGGTGCTGCTTGAACAGTGCACCAAGCATGGGGTTAGATAAAAAAAAAAAGACACTTTGTCAGCGGAGCTGTAAAAACAGGTCCTGCAGAGAATCAGAAAAAGGCTCAGGAAACACAGGCAGCGCCTTTGACGACCCAGTATCAGAAATGACCTTACAGGAGGAGCTGCAGGAGGCCATCAAACAGATCGTCTCTTTACAATTAGAAATCCCACAAGAACAACATGAGTATTTACAAGAAATACTGGAATGGCCACTATTTAAGGAAGTGGAGTCCAAAGAGACAACAAACGGGCCAAAAGAAGATGGGAATGTGCTGCATGATTTAGAGGAAAATGCATTGGGGGTGAAGATTATCCTGGTGCAGGAAGAGGAGCACATAGAGGAGTTGACAGTAAACCTGTATTCTACTATCACACCAACCAGCACACTTCTGGGAGGATGGAAGGGAAAAAAATGGAGGAGAATGCAGAATATGTGGTAGTGGACAAGTGGGATGCAGAGCTGGATTTCAAGGAGAAAGACAAAAAGAGCAAGGGGAGTTGGAAAAGAGAGAAGAATAAAGAGCTATAGCTAAAACGCATAAAGTAGAAAGTTAAGATATTTAGTAAGTAATAATAATAATGATTTATGTGTATTTTGTTTACAATAAGTGGTACTTAGATGTGTATGGTTAAAATAAGAAATGATTGTATTGAAAAATTAATGAAAGGGATTTTAAATTTAGAATGAAATGTTTAACTAAAGGAGGGAAAAAAACCAACATCGTATCATAATAACAGTTGGTGGTTACAGGCACTCCTTAGGTATGAAAGCAAGAGATGATGTAACAGTTTCAACTGACAAACTGTCCGAAGGCCAGAGATAAGCGGCAGCTGAGAAAACAGAAGCAGATAATGCTGAATCACAGTAGGGGGAAGTCAGTTATAGGCAGACTAGTACTGAACCTTGATGGTAAAAGATATGCAACAGCTCTAAAAAAACAAGACACTGCATGCCAAAAAAGGTAATAGCTGAAAGCTGTAACATCTGGTTGGATGAAAGGATGAAGCCTACGTGACAGGAAGCCTATAAGAACCATGGCAAAAAAAAAGGAACAACAGCTTGTTAAGCAGTTGCTGCCAGAGGCTCTGTCCGGTCGTTTTCTGAGTTCCAGAGAAGCAAGCCGAGAGGGCATCTCAGTTGCGGCTTCTCCTCTACAGGCCACCACAGCCGGTGGGGGAGGAAAGGATGGAAAGAAGACAGAGCCGCTACCCAGAGCGGGAAGTCAATGATGGACGGTTGAACTGTTCAAGGAACTATACAACAAGTATGAAAGTTCAGCCAGTCAGAAGCTGGAAGATACCATCTTAGATGAAAGTAGAGTGAGGAAAGATAAAGTGAATTGGTATCTTCCAGCTTCTGACTGACTGAACACACCTGAGCCAAGTAATCAGCAGCAAGTCAGGAGGGATAGTTGGAAAACAAGCAGGACAGCGGGCCTCGAGGACTGGAATTGGCCACCCCTGGTCCAGACAAAAAGCAGGTGTTTGTAAATGTAAGCCTTAGCAGAAATATGGTTGCTGATTTTAAGTTCATGTTTATTTATTTTGGAATAATATTGTATCCTGTCTGTTTCGATTCATATTTATGTTCAAAAAACGTTTAGTTTTAGTCTGTTCAATAAATTTTTATCCTGTTCGGCCTGCAACCTGAAGTGTGCTTTTGAGTTTTGGCCCCCTGTGCGATTGAGTTTGACACCCCTTACTAAGACTAATGTTAAGAATTAGTAGTTAATTTATTTAGTTGTAAACTAAACCGAGATTGCTGATTATTTTGATATTTTGCCTTATTGCTTAATGCTCTGTTGTAACTCTTTTAAAACCTATATAAAATGTCTAAAAAAGGTTAAACTCTCTCCCTTTATTGAGTCTGCTTCTTTTTTATTATTATTATTATTATTATTATTATTATTAAGGGTTTAGAACAGTTTTAGACCTTGCATGTAGTGATGTTCAAAGCTGTATTGCATATGAAGGTTAACACAAACTATAATACAAGTACTTTAAATGTGGATAATTTTGTAAAAAGAAAATTAGTGATGATTGATAATTAACATTAAATTACAGACATAATATTCAGACAGATTCATTGCAAAATACTTTAGAAAATAGTCAACTGTTTACATGTTACACCATATACACTACAACTTGAGGGTCCTAATCTTGAAAAATAACGTACGTTAGCTAAATACTATGTAAAGCAAATATGGTTTTAAGTGGCCAATGCCACGGCTTTTATGGGTTATTTCTGACAAAAACTTTCCTCAAAGAGCCAGAGCATACTGGTTCCTAAAATCTGCTCAGTACAGTAACATCTGAAGGTATAAGGAGGTAGCTGCCTATAACTGCAGGTTGTTATTGTTCAGGAGGATTTGGGGCCTTGTCTTGAATTAATGACATGTAAGAGGGAGGTCTGCAGGGAACTCTGTTCGCAGGTTCATGGTAGTCAATGAATATCTCTGCCAAAAAACCTCAAGCAGTGTTTGGAGCTTTAATATGTTTCAAATGTGCCACCTTAGTGTGAGGGGTCAAGCTTTATTCCTATGTCCAGGGGTTAGCATATCGTGGCCTTCATACAACTTGACAGGTGTGAGCATGGGGCTGAATTAATCTATATTCCATTAAACTACTTTTAATTTTGTTTACAAAATCAATCAAAGCGGGCCCCACCTTTCTGTGTGGAGTTTGCATGTTCTCCCCGTGCTTGCGTGGGTTCTCTCCGGGTACTCCGGCTTCCTCCCACAGTCCAAAAACATGCAGCTTAGATTGATTGGTGTCTCTAAATTGCCCATAGGAGTGCATGTGCGTGCGTGTGTGTAGTTGTTCGTCTATGTGTTAGCCCTGCGATGGATTGGCGACCTGTCCAGCGTGTACCCTGCCTTCGCCCGATTGCCGACCGGGATTGGCTCCGGCCCCCCCGTGACCCCGTTCAGGGACTAAGTGGTAGAAAATGAATGACCAATCAAAGCAATTGTTAATTACCAACTCTGAAATGGGGAAGACTGGTTTCCATTATCATGCATGTCAGTGTAGGACTGAGCTGCAGTTAGAAACACTCATCCCTCTGAGGGTTTTTAAATTGTATTAGATAAAACTTGTAACATAATTTTTTAAACTAATGTGTCTGTGTTTGTTGCGTTAGGGTAGAGAAACACCAAGCTGATGTGAAAGAATAAGCAGCGACATAGGCCGACTGTTGCATGGCCTCAATGGTGGTTTTGTCTGGGCCAGCTGGGTTGAAAAAGTGGCACTTGAACACACTGCACAGACGACACCCAATGGCCAACTAGCACATACGTTATGTACATGTATGACAGAAATAACATCCTCCACCAACAGGTGGTGGTATCTCAGAATAAGAAAGAAGACGAGCTAGACTGCAGAAGTATAAGCTATAAACAAAACATCTCTCATTCAGAATAGCTGCTGTTTATAGCTGCTTTTAATCAAGAATGCCTGATAAGAAGTTGCAAATGATACTGCCGTTCTCTGTCCCCAATCCATTCTCTTCTTGAGCACTAATCCTCTAAGCTCAACAGCCAATCAGAGTGATCTCTGTCCCACCAACGCTGATTCAGCATGTCGACTCATCCAAAAAGCCACTGACAGAGGCCAACTAGTGCCAACAGTGCAGGACACACCAGGAAAACGAGCCCCTGACAGACACTCACCGACAGCCCATGTTGAATCAGAGTCAGTGGTTGGGCCTCATCAGTGAGAGACAGATCACTCTATAAAGAAGTGTCACTTTTCCAACCCGACTGGCCCAGACAAAGCCAACGTGAGGGGACACAGAGGTCGGCCTTCATCACTGCTCGTTCTTCCACATATGCTTGGTGCATCTCTGCCGTTGGGCTGAACAAGCTGTAATAATTTCACTGCTGTTTTTATGTAACTGTACACTGGGCTCTCATGCAAGACAGATCTTGTCTCAATGAGACTTCTTGTTGAAATAAAGTTAACTGAAGCTTAACTACCTAAAAACTGCACTGACACATACAGTATCTAAACCCCCATTTTATAAACAGAAATCAGAACTTTACATGGGCTGAAAATAGTTTTCTACTATAATGAAAATACAAACATGGGAATAAACATTTGGCTTTAAGACTGAAATATAAAGAACTACAGAAAACCTGAACAGTATTTTTCAAAATTCTACACAGCAATTCCAGCTGCCTTCAACTCAAAACTACTAAACTACCCAAATTCTAATCTTTACTGAAAGTGATGTAGATTTGTGAACTTATCAAAGGTGGATTTAGCTAAAAGAAAGATATCTTACTTCAACTTCCAAAACATTTAAAAGCAGAATAACCCTCAGTGACTATTGCACATTAAAAGCGGCAGTAGTGAGTTCGGGAGTCATATGGACTCTGAACAAACAAACAATGCTCACTGTCCTCAGTGATTGGCCTCTTCACACCCTAATGAAATGTGTGTTTTTCTGTGATTGAGGATTTCACCTCAATATGGTTTAACTCTGATCATATCAGTGCAAACACAACTAAAGTCAGATTACACTTTCAATGTGGGGACACAAAAGATGGAGGGAACAGCTAAACAAACGAAAGCCAAAACATCAGCATTAGGAACAAACACAAAAAAGCTAATTTGATTATTTATAACAATCTTGGGCAAGCCTCTGAAACAGCAGTTATAATTTTAGTGCTCACAAACCTACCAAAATCCAAACTAATGAAATTCGTTTTTAATTTGTAGCTTTTCAACCGAGTAACTCACCACAGGAGAAAATATTAGGCCTTTAAATAAAAACAATGGTTAAATAAACATCTAAAACATACAAACACTGATTTTCCATAGCTCTGTTGTTGTTTTAATAAAAAAGGTACAAAATTATAAAGCTAGTGTTAGCTGGCTAATGATGCCAAAATATACACGTTAGTCAGCTATAGTACTTATGGGACTAGCAAGAAGAAAGCCACATCTGCTTAAAATTGTAGTACTGTAGATGGCTTTAATTGGGTTTAGTATAGCAGGGAGACAACACTTGTAGACAATTTTTTCTTCATTTATCCAAATTTGTGCTAAATCTTAATTAATGCAGCTTTAACTAATTAGTCAGTCAGGCAACTACCTTGTTAAATATTTAATCATTTTAGTCATTTTTCAAGTAAAAATGGTGTCATCTTCTGAAATATACCTTTATGTCATTTATGACACTAAATATTTTTAGGCTTTGGACTCATGGTTGGACAAAACACAGATTTGTTGATCTCACAGTTGAAATCACAAATGCATTTCCCTCCTTACTTCTAATATTTTATGGACTATGTGACTAACTGATCAATCCAGACTCCTTGTTCAAACCCTATTTTACATGATGTGATGGGATTTATTAGCAATATCTCTCAGCACCAAACCAGAAACAGAGGTTTTAACCTGCTGAAGTCAGGTCAAAACACTAACTCAAGTTTTTGCTATTCATATTTTTTACTTTCACCTTAAAGGTTATACAGTCCTCTCCTAGAGAAAAACTCAAAAATGCAAGGCTGTTAAGCTAAAACTCTGCTCTTGGAAAGTTAGAGAAAGCAACACTGTGAAGAAACGAGTGACTCACAAGAGGATGATCTTGCGGTTGATGTCCGGTCTGAAGGGGAAGGGTGAGGGGAAGGCCTGCTGGCTGAGCAGGCTGTCGGTCTGATCCTGTGCTGTCTCCTCTCCAATCTCGTCCAGCTGCCACCATGTGGGGAGAGTCTGAATGTCTACAAACTGGGAGCGAGCACCCAGAGGATCCATGACACCATGGGCTGATACAGGTTCTCCAAGCAGTCACGCTAGAAGCAGAGCAACAACAGAAATTTGGATTATGCCATCATACAGACAGCTGACAAACAAAAGGACAACCCAACATAAAGTGTGTCAGTAAGATGCTGGGCCAGCAGAACAGCTTCAGTGTACCTTGACACTGAGTCTCTAACAACAATTTTATTTTCATTATTGATGCATATGTTCTCAATGTGGGGCTGAAATCAGAGCATATGTTATTTCTGTCTGACAAATTCTTAAACCATCATTAAAATTGATTAGCTAATTTTCTGATTGACTAAACCAGTGAATGGATTAATAGTTTCAGCTCTGTAATTTGATCATTTAATCTTTCAAGTCAACCATGAAGCAAAAACCAAAAACATTTTCTGGTTCCAAATATTAGGATTTGCTGCAAATAATCCTGTCATTCCAGATGTGAATTTTACAGACTGATAAATTAATTAAAGACATTTCCAGATTAATCAGTAATGAAAGTGATCATTGGTCTATTTGAACCTTTGCCTATTCCATGTAAATGTCCAGTAACTCTGGGTGGTCGTTTAAAGGAAGATGCCCCTCAACAGTTCTACATCACTGATCTGTGCGATCCTACATTTCAAGAGTTGCTTTGTGAGAAGGCGTTGTCATCTAACCTCTATGTCTTCTCTACTTCAGGTCATGATTTCCACTGTCTTGTGGTTTCATTATATTTTGGTTGATTTCTATTGATTGTTGCAGGTTGGTGCAAAACAGCAGCTGTGGAAATAAGACCTCTCTGTTTGATTCTGCAGTACACCAAACTTGATGTCTGCTATTTCAGATTGCTGAAATATCCAACTCTACTGTTGGAAATACATGGTTAAGATCCCTTCCTTTGACTTTCACAGGAAAACAAGAAATACATCTTCAATAATGAAGTGGCCCTCAAAACTTTGTATGTTACATCTTTGATGGCAATGCACTTCATACGTGTTTAGGTGTGGAGTTTTGTAGATGTGCAACTCCTGATTAATGTAATTATCAATTTATTATATATATATAAATTGTGCACATAAAACACCCAAGAATGATGTCTTTAGATTTCTTGTTTTACCTAACAGTCCCAAAACCCATAGATATTCAATTTACAATAACATAAAACAGAAAAGCTGCAAGGTTTAACACAAAGAAGGCAGAACCAGTAAATGTTTTACTATCCGATGTTCGACTCACCCGATATCTCCAAAACACTGGAGGCTACGCACTCTACCGGCTGGGCGGAAGCGCTCGCAGGCGGCTTCGAGATCGAAGAACAAAGGCGTGGAAAGCGCAGAGGAGTTAGAGCCAAGAATATTGACACCTACACTTCTGTGCTGGACTATATTAACACTACCAATATTCAATTTACAATAACATAAAACAGAAAAGCTGCAAGGTTTAACACAAAGAAGGCAGAACCAGTAAATGTTTTACTATCCGATGTTCGACTCACCCGATATCTCCAAAACACTGGAGGCTACGCACTCTACCGGCTGGGCGGAAGCGCTCGCAGGCGGCTTCGAGATCGAAGAACAAAGGCGTGGAAAGCGCAGAGGAGTTAGAGCCAAGAATATTGACACCTACACTTCTGTGCTGGACTATATTAACACTACCACTGAACAGTGTCACAACCCAGAAACAGATCACCACGTACCCAAGTCAGAAGCCATGGATGAACAAGGAGATGCAGCTCCTGCCGAAGGGCCGCTCAGCTCTGGTGATGCACAGACCTACAGCTTATCCAGGAACAACCTGAGGAGGGGCATCAAGAAGGCCAAGCACTGCTACAAGCTAAAGGTCAAGGACCGATTCCCAAACTCTGACCCCCAATGTACAGTATGTGGAAGGGCATTCAGGTCATCAGTGACTACAAGCCCGGCAACTCCACCCCAACAATCACAGATGTCTCCTTCCTCAATGAGCTAAACGACTTCTATGCTCGCTTCGACCGGGACAACAAGGAGACAGCTATCAAGTCCAGACCCTCAATAGACCACCAGCCACTCAGACTCACCTCCACTGACGTGCATGCTGCACTAAGCCAGGTCAACACACGCAAGGCTGTTGGCCCTGACGACATTCCTGGACACCTGCTCAGGGCATGTGCTGGACAGCTTGCTGGCATCTTTACGGACATTTTTAACCTGTCCCTCACCCAAGCAGCTGTGCCGACGTGCTTCAAGACCACATCCATTGTGCCAGTGCCAAAACGCTCCACCCCAATGTGCCTGAATGACTACTGCCCTTGTAGCACTCACACCCATTGTCATGAAGTGCTTCAAGCGCCTGATCCTGGCACACCTGATGACCTGTCTTCACCAATCTGCCTACCGCAGGAATAGGAGCACGGAGGATGCAGTCTTCATAGGTCTATATTCAGACTCAGACATCTGGACAATAACAATACTTACATGAGAATGCTATTCGTGGACTTCAGCTCAGCATTTAACATGGTCATCCCCTCCAAATTAACCACTAAACTTGGTGACCTGGGCATCAGCACCTCCCTCTGCAACTGGATTCTGGACTTTCTGACCAACAGGCCTCAGCATGTTAGGTCAGACAACACCAGCTCCTCCACCATCATCCTCAACACCAGCGTACCACAGGGCTGTGTGCTGAGCCCATTCCTCTACTCCCTTTTCACCCACGACTGCAGGCCTGTGCATAGGGAGAAAGGATGCACACAGTGTCTCCAGCTTCAAATTCCTGGGGACCCATATGTCAGAGGATCTGTCCTGGACCACCAACACCTGCAGCCTGGTTAGGAAGGCTCACCAGTGCCTCTTCTTCCTAAGGACACCTTTCTTCAGCCATCCTGGTGAACTTCTACCACTGTGCCATTGAGAGCATCCTGACCAGCTGTATCACAGTCTGGTATGGAAACTGCTCTGTCTCCGACTGCAAGGCATTGCAGCGGGTAGTGAAAACCGCCCAATGTATCACAGGGACTCTACTTCCAGCCACTGAGGGTGTCCACAGGGAACGCTGTCTCCAACGTGCTTGCAGCATTCTCAAGGACTCCTCTCACCCAGCTCACAAACTGTTTGACCTCCTGCCCTCTGGGAGGCACTTCAGGAGCCTCTGGACTAACACCAGTAGACTCAGGACCAGCTTCTTCCCCACAGCTGTCTCCTCACCGAGCTCTTCTTCTATACCACTACACACACCTCATCCATTCTCATCTCTTCTCCCGGGACTAATGCAATTATTAATTTGCACATACTCACAGAGTTCTGCACCATTTCTTACTTAACACCAGTTGGTTTTTGATTAAGAAAGTCACTTTCGGCTTTTCCCGTTAGGGGTCGCCACGTCATGTTGACGTTTGGCACATGTTTTATGCCGGATGCCCTTCCTGACGCAACCCTGATTTGAACCCGGACCGCAGCGGCGAGAGCGCTGCGCCTTAACCACTAGCCTACAGGGACGGCACCAGTTTGTTTCTGATTAAATTATTAAAAACATTTCCTGCTCCTTTCAGCCACTAAAATGAGAGGATCAGTAGCTTGTCTCTGCTGGAAGGTCATATATTCAAAGAGATAACATTATTTTTCATCTGACACTGAAACCGTAAATGTAAAAATATCTTTGGGTTTTGGTCTTGTGGGAGAACAGGGGGGTTAAAGGATTAGAGTAAGTCTTATTCTCATGCCTGTAGTCTTCAGAATTGTTTAAGTTGATTTCAGTCATCATATTTGCCGTATTTTACTAAGATTTTTACTTATTTTACTTCATTTTTACACTTTTTATATTTTATTTCATTTAATTTTAAAGTTTATCTTACTTCAATTTATTCATCAGTACTTGTTATACTTGCTCAGTAGCGTTGTGAATACGGATGACTGAGGTCAACTCTCTGTGTCTAAGACTGACCGTGAGATGACTTTGGCATCTTAGAGTAAAATGAGGGGGGTTATTAGTCTGTTATTTGGATGGCTGCCCTGTTTTGCAGCACGAGGACAACTGTCACACCTCAGTGAGGGATAGAAAAGAACCTTTAATATTACTGTTCAGTGTTTTTAAGATGTCATCCTGTGACAAGTTAATGGGTCTGTGCATCACCTTTTGATGAGTTGAACATATCTGTCTGACGATGTGTTGCCTGTTACCCTTTATCAGATATGTGTCAAGAAGGTATTGTTTACTCATTATTAGTGTCAATCATCATGTGACCTGCAGCTGTTATGTCACTTGCATGTTTATTAAACTTATTTCTTTTATTTTTATAGCTTCTGAAGGGGTAACCAAGTCTGACCTCTCTAGGTTCAAACACAATGGTGTCTATTGCGCTGCAGATCAAAGAGAGAAAGGTGGCGTATAGCGTGGTTAGTCAGGAAGTGCTTGTATAGAGTAAAAAAAAAAAAGATGATGCAGGAGCGTTGTAAACTATTATGCTTTGCAAACCAGAAACTGAGTTATGGCCATTTGTGACCTTTTGCGATAAATCCCATGCCTTGCTTCAGACTGAAGAGACTTTAATAAGTGTTTTTTTTTTTTTTTAAAGATAAGGGGATCATCACTGGTGTGTGCCTGACTTGTACTGGCCCACGTCAGGTTCCACAACAGGCTGTTGAGAGGATAAAGAGGTAGTGCAAAGAGGCAGTTTATTACTAGGTTAGTGGATTTATGGAAAAATGAATCACAATAGCTAACAATTCTAATAATTTAGTAACAACTGAATCATTTATCAAGCAAAAACGCCAAACATTTACTAATTAAAGCTTCTCAAATGTAAAGAGCTGCTGCTTTTCTCTACTTTATACCACTGTAAACTAATAGTCTGCAAAAGAAGCTTAGTCATCGAGTTTGTGATCATTTAACGTAATGTGAACAAATTAAGCAGTAAACAGACTATAACTGTCAGTTTAACTTTAATTTACCTTAAACATGAGATGAACACGATGAATGTTGCTTATCGTGGTTGCTAAAAGCCAACCACATTATAATTTCTTCCCCATTGTGACACAGCTGCATGTGATTAAACTAAGCAACACACGTGATGGTTTAAGAAAACAGTCGTGCTACTGTAAAAACGCAAGCTTCCTAGATACATTTATGCCAGTCCCCAAGAGTAAAATGTTCTTTAATCATGAATAAAGCCTGTTTTTTGACCATGCGGTCTCTCTCAACCTCAAAATCTGTATTTACCTACCTAACTAGCCAGTTGTAACTATTTCCTCCAAGTAGAGATGACTCTCCACGCCAAAAACAAAAAAGACATGACGGTTTACAGACTCACAAGGTGTCGTCGTTTCTAGAAGTTCTCAGTCTACCAAATATAATACTCACAAATAGCCAAAAATCAAGTTTTAAAGTGTCGCTTTATCAGGTTTACACATTTAGCCAACATGCTAGCTGCACACTGCGGTGTAAATTGACGAGAGAAAGCTCATCAGCATCCGGTAATTAATTTCAAAATAAAATTGAGAGTCCAAAATAAATAAAATAAAATTAAGAGTCCAAAATGTTGGTTTTCGTTTGTTGACATATAAACTTTATTTCAGACTGTATATTAAATATGCATTTTTTTATTTTTTAACAACATTAGAGAACTCATAAGCCTAAAGCTTTATCAAATTCCACTATGCTTTTTATATACAGTGGTGTGAAAAAGTGTTTGCCCCCTTACTGATTTCTTATCTTTTTGCATGTTTGTCACACTGTAATGTTTCAGATCGTCAAACAAATTTATATATTAGTCAAAGATAACACAAGTAAACACATCATGCAGTTTTTAAATGAAGGTTTTTATTATTAAGGGAAAACAAAATCCAAAACTATATAGCCCTGTGTGAAAAAGTGTTTGCCCCCTAAACCTAATAACTGGTTGGGCCACCCTTAGCAGCAACAACTGCAATCAAGCATTTTCGATAACTTGCCATGAGTCTTTTACAGCGCTGTGGAGGAATTTTGGCCCACTCATCTTGGCAGAATGGTTGTAAGTCAGCCACATTGGAGCGTTTTCGGGCATGAACTGCCTTTTTAAGGTCATGCCACAGCATCTCAATTGGATTCAGGTCATGACGTTGACTAGGCCACTCCAGTCTTCATTTTGTTTTTCTTCAGCCATTCAGAAGTGGACTTGCTGGTGTGCTTTGCATCATTGTCCTGCTGCAGAACCCAAGTTCGCTTCAGCTTGAGGTCACAAACGAATGGCCGGACATTCTCCTTCAGGATATTTTGGTACACAGCAGAATTCAGGGTTCCATTTATCACAGCAAGTCTTCCAGGGCCTGAAGCAGCAAAACAGCCCCAGACCATCACACTACCACCACCATATTTTACTGTTGGTATGATGTTCTTTTTCTGAAATGCGGTGTTACTTTTACACCACACATAATGGGACACACACCTTCCAAAAAGTTCAACTTTTGTCTCGTCTGTCCACAGAGTATTATCCCAAAAGTCTTGGGGATCATCAAGATGTTTTCTGGCAAAACTGAGACGAGCCTTTATGTTCTTTTTGCTCAGCAGTGGTTTTCGTCTTGGAACTCTGCCATGCAAACCATTTTTGCCCAGTCTCTTTCTTATGGTGGAGTCATGAACACTCACCTTAACTGAGGCAAGTGAGGCCTGCAGTTCTTTGGATGTTGTTGTGGGGTCTTTTGTGACCTCTTGGATGAGTTGTCGCTGCGCTCTTGGGGTAATTTTGGTCGGCCGGCCACTCCTGGGAAGGTTCTCCACTGTTCCATGTTTTCGCCATTTGTGGATAATGGCTCTCACTGTGGTTCGCTGCAGTCCCCAAGCTTTAGAAATGGCTTTATAACCTTTTCCGGACTGATAGAGCTCCATTATTCTCTTTCTCATTTGTTTTTGAATTTCTTTGGATCTCGGCATGATGTCTAGCTTTTGAGGATCTTTTGGTCTACTTCACTTTGTCAGGCAGGTCCTATTTAAGTGATTTCTTGATTGCGAACAGGTGTGGCAAGAGAAATTGAACTCAGGTGCGATAAACCAGTGTTTTGACAGGGGGGCAAACACTTGTTCACACAGGGCTCTATAGTTTTGGATTTTGTTTTCCCTTAATAATAAAAACCTTCATTTAAAAACTGCATGATGTGTTTACTTGTGTTATCTTTGACTAATATATAAATTTGTTTGACGATCTGAAACATTACAGTGTGACAAACATGCAAAAAGATAAGAAATCAGTAAGGGGGCAAACACTTTTTCACACCACTGTAAACACATAAACAGTCTGCTCCAGAGTCAATAATCTCTCCTTCCCATGTGATATTTGAAGATTCCTATCCCAAATCCCCGCTAATGGATCAAATCAAATCAAATCAAATT